ATCGATACAAAAAGTGACTAAGACAATAATGTATTTGTTTTATAAATGGGAAAGTAAAATGTCCAGTAAAATGTCTCCATTATTGCGTTTTTAATTGTCTTTTCTAGAAATTTTGTTTCATTTTTGTAGGTCAGTCATGCACTACAATTCAGCATCAATGTGTCGACGGCTCATGTATAGATATACTGTTAAGATGTAACAACGATAGAGATTGCGGATTAGAAGAGCTATCTGATGAGGAGGGGTGTGAGTATAATACGCATCTTATGATTTACAATATGAATATACATTGATAACTTATATTATAAAAGTTATAAAAAGAAATAAAAAATATGATATTCATCATTTGAATCAGGAGCGTTTCTGTTATATAGATACAATGGATAAGCGTGGATTCTTGAAAAAGAAACCATGAGCCCGGAGGGCTAATGGTTTGTTTTTCATGAATCTACGCTTATCCATTGAATCTATAACTTTTAACTATTGTGTTAATTTCTTTTCAAAATTAAAGCCTTTTCTTAATTAGAAGGTATTGTAAGTGAGTTTAAATAACCATGTTATCGTGTCCAACGATGCATTGATAAATCTCAGATCACAATCAATTGGTTAACAAAATACAAATATAACACTTCTACCTTTAAAGATCTTTATATTACCAGGCATATGAATATTATCTGTTTATACAAAATAAGACATATTCGAAATTATTTCTAATAAAATTGAAAATGGAAATGGGGAACGTGTCAAAGAGACAACAACCCGACCAAAAAGCATATATAAAGTATATATAATAAGTATGTTATCGAAACTTTTCTAACACTCTAGGCACATCACGATTTTCTCGCATAGGAATTTGCGAACAAACCTTTGTAAAATTATGTAGTAAAACAGATGAAATCATACTATATTTATAAAACAAAAATTGACAAATAGAATGTAATCATTTTTGTTTCAAACATGTGAAATAGCCTATAATAATATATAAAAAAACGGTAAAACTCGCTATTATTACAAAAATATCCGCTATAACTTGCAAAATTAGAAAAAAACAAGGATAGTTTAAGAATTGGAACAACAGAGAGAATACAGGGATTCGAACCTAAACCGAAAAATCCCGATCTTTAACGCATTGATTTTAACCATGCTAACCTCGCGGCTACCAACTCATACTATACGACTGCCTATTGTGTCTATATAAAGGTACAAGCCCTGTGTGTCCTATGAACCGATGTATATCAGATGTTCATTTAAATATATAAAATAAACATCTATAGTGTAACCCATTGGTAGCCGAGAGGTTTCGTCGGTGTGTTGATGTCAGTCACACATAACAGATTTCAAGGAAGGGTTCGATTCCCAGTGAAGGCATATAAAAATTACAACTACTAAATAGAGTTTAATGGCGACTACCCTTGCGGGTATTGCGCCAGATTACCTTATATAAAAACATTTCAAATAAATGTTTTAAAATTTATTATTATTTAGGAATTAACCTGTATTATATATTCATATTATAGTAAATTGTGAGTTTTTTTTTTTTTTTTTTTTTTTTTTTTCCTTAAATTTAATCTTTATATTTAAATCTGAACTATGGTGTGTATTTTAATTATCTTAATTATCTTGTGGTTAATTTATAGTGAGAAGAAAAATTTTTGTGGACTTATTTTTCTGTTATTTGTAACTTAGCCTGCTTTGTTTATAAATATTAAAAATTACAAAAATTAAAGGTAAGTTTTTAAATTAATTCCATTAGTGAACAGAAATCAGTAAATTAGCCAATTCAAACTTAATGAAATTAGGCACACAAAGGAAACAATTGAATATAATTTGGTGAGTCAATTTCAGCGGCAGATTTAGGAAGCGTTGATTCTAGAAAAAGAATCCACGGTAAATGAATAGGCTGACGTCACCACAATGGTTTAAAGAATAATCAAGTACTATCGTAGCCCAGAGTCTGCTCGTACCCATAATCGTCGAACACGGAACATATCAAAATGTTCGAACACATACACAGGCTCAATATAAATACGTCTGGTGTGAAATTTGGATTGAGGGAGTTGACACTTATTTTTAACTCGAGTACATAATTCTATAAATGTGAATTTAATAAAATAAATAAAACAAAGTAAAATTGAATCGTTCTAATACTAAAATGATGGCAAATGGGTCGCTTGATCCCCCATATTTGAAAAGACAGTTTGTTTTTGCATTACAAAACAGCGTAAGACAATAAAATCAAAGCAAGTCATACAATACCACATCAAACATTGAAACAAAACCAGACAAAAACATTCTACATAATCTATGGGAGGGTAAATATTTCCTGTTCAACTAGTGGCACCTGTTGTGTTTCTCAATGTTAGTAAAATTTAGGGTTTGTCATGAAGAGGCAAGGGAGACAGGCTTATGTTTCAGAAAAGTGGATCATAAGTTTCTATAAAAAAAAGTTTTAAGAAGTTTTTGATCCTTGGAGTTTATAAATTTGATATATCGTAAACTTGTATAGTTCTCATACAGCGTTAACGTACATAAAGCCGTTTTAACCTTTTAGTGAAAAAAATACTGTTCCTAAAACTCTCAAAATATATGTGCCATAACTGAATCGTGTACGAACGCTCATACTTTGCACAATGCATATCAGAGCAGAGGTAGACTATTCACAAATGATACGGATGAACCAAATAATAATGTATACAGTACAAAGTTTCATTTCATGTTTCATATGTTCATTTGATAATAGTTTAATTATATACGATTATGACAGTTGTGATAACACCTATTATATTCATAAATTTCATCTCCTTGGTTGTGAGAATGTTATTGACAATATACAGATTTTTTATTTTGGAAGTGATTGATATATGGCAATTGAACACAGAGGTCTTCGTTTAGCTTAGACCTAGATTCAAATAGCATTTATTAAGAACATTTGCATTGTCTAGCATGTCAATGTATACATTTCGTTTCGTAAAATATAATACCAGTTATTCGGGGACATCCACAAAAATAGACAATTAAGTTATGGTTTGACGAAAATCAATATTCAAATTTAGATGGGCACGTTATGTCATAGCAATATATCTTACGGTACGACATATATAGATCGAGAAGCTACGCAAATTAAAGACGGTTAAAAATTAAAATTTTTGTTAATAATTAGTGCGACCTGTACCGGAGTTGCAATTCCGATTGTTTTTCCAAAACTAGTACTGTGAACAAAGGGATATATTATGTTTTGTAAATAAAAAGAACTTAAAGTTCAAAATTGAGACCTAGATTCAAATAGCATTTATTAAGAACATTTGCATTGTCTAGCATGTCAATGTATACATTTCGTTTCGTAAAGTATAATACTAGTTATTCGGGGACATCCACAAAAATAGACAATCAAGTTATGGTTTGACGAAAATCATTCAAATTTAGATGGGCACGTTATGTCATAGCAATATATCTTACGGTACGACATATAGAGATCGAGAAGCTACGCAAATTAAAGACGGTTAAAAATTAAAATTTTTGTTAATAATTAGTGCGACCTGTACCGGAGTTGCAATTCCGATTGTTTTTCCAAAACTAGTACTGTGAATAAAGATATATTATGTTTTGTAAATAAAAAGAACTTTAATTTGATTCAAACAGAAAAATCTCTGAAACTCACACCAGCAAGATCTTTTTTTTTTTCTTTTACTGACATTGCTATGTTTGGATGTCGTGTTTTTAAACAAACAATCAACATTTCTAAGCGACCCAACTGCGTTCCTCTACTTGCCTACTTTATTCATATGATACAGACTTCACAGAGAAGCTTCTACGAACGAATGAACATAAGCTAGAATTTTTCCTTCAACTTCACATTTCGCTGTGTAAATGATAACACTTCACTAAATGATTTAAAAAAACTGAAGAATCGATTGAGAACATATTTTATGACAAGGGATGGTTTCAGCTTTCCAATTGTAAACATTCCATTTCTGTGTAGAAGCATTCCAGCAGCGCCTGCATCATGTGCATATGGGTATATCCAAGTCAATAATATATTTCAGAACTTAAGTTTCCTATCATGATCACCTTGATAGAGGATTGCTACTTACAAGGAAATTTTTGAACCAAGGGTTCCTACTGCTAAAGTTGAAGTCGTCCCTTCGAATGTTTTACGAATGCGATCAAGAGTTGAATGACCGTTATCAAATATATGTGTCCTTTGGCAACTACGAGTTGACTGACCGTTAAGGATTATCTGTGTTCTTTGGTATTCTTGTCATTTTTTTTAGTTGGTCTCTCAATACATGTTAATTAATATCATATACCGTTATTTATTGCTTCAACCTTTTTTCAAATTTTAGGACACATGCATACCATATCAACTGTAATAAACAAGAGTAGAAAAAGTATGAGCTGATTAAAATTTGCATAGCTTGAAAATTCCATAACACCGTAGCATCACGTCTATAATTGCAATGTGACGATCAAAAACCTCTATTAGGCTTTAACCTGATATCAATATCAAATATAACGGTAATTTTTATTACTGACTTTTAGGGAAATTCCTTAAAATTGTCTTTAATGCAGATGGTTCTTACGTTTGAGTTAATGTTATCAAGAACATTTCCTATTATTACTGACTTACTTATTTACCCTTGATCTGCTTCCTGTCACATTGGGCAGAGATATTTCATCCTACCCGAATAACGTACAGACGATAAATGAACGATACAGGTTCTTTGGAACAATACTTGAAGTTTAATGGTATTTTCAACCAATAAAATGTAGTTATATTTGACTAAACATAAATACTTTTATGTCATACAATTGTATAAAGATTGAAATGTCTTAAAAGTAAAAGGAAAAATAGTATCAACGAACATTTACTTTTCAGGTGCTGGAATTACATTTTGCCCAGAGGGTTTATACAAATGTAATAGTGGACAGTGTGTGGTAAGTGGAAATAGATGTGATGGATTATACCAGTGTATTGACGGTTCTGATGAGAATAATTGTGTTGCCGGTACAACAGAAACAGATACTACACAATCGTCTTTACCCACAGGGACAACAATTTCGTCAGTACCTTCAGAGACAACACAATCGTCATTACAAACAAAAACAACAAAATCATCAGTACCAACAGTACCAACAGAAACAACAGCGTCGGCATCATCAACAGAGACAACAGTGTCGGCATCATCAACAGAGACAACAGTGTCGGCATCATCAACAGAGACAACAGTGTCCTTACTGCCTATAGAAACAACACTATCGTCATTGCCTGCAGAGACAACACTATCGTCATTGCCTTTAGATACAACACAATCATCAGTACCAACGGAGACAACCCAATCATCAGTACAAACGGAGACAACACAATCGTCAGTACAAACGGAGACAACACAATCGTCAGTACAAACGGAGACAACACAATCGTCAGTACAAAGGAGACAACACAATCGTCAGTACAAACGGAGACAACACAATCGTCAGTTCAAACGGAGACAACACAATCGTCAGTTCAAACGGAGACAACACAATCGTCTGTACAAACGGAGACAACACAATCGTCAGTACCAACGGAGACAACACAATCGTCAGTACCAACGGAGACAACACAATCGTCAGTACAAACGGAGACAACACAATCGTCAGTACAAACGGAGACAACACAATCGTCAGTACAAACGGAGACAACACAATCGTCAGTACAAACGGAGACAACACAATCATCTGTACCAACGGAGACAACACAATCGTCAGTACAAACGGAGACAACACAATCGTCAGTACAAACGGAGACAACACAATCGTCAGTACAAACGGAGACAACACAATCGTCAGTACAAACGGAGACAACACAATCATCTGTACCAACGGAGACAACACAATCGTCAGTACCAACGGAGACAACACAATCATCAGTACCAACGGAGACAACACAATCATCAGTACAAACGGAGACAGCACAATCATCAGTACCAACGGAGAAATCATCAGTACAAACGGAGACAACACAATCATCAGTACAAACTGAGACAACACAATCATCAGTACAAACGGAGACAACACAATCATCAGTACAAACGGAGACAACACAATCGTCAGTACAAACGGAGACAACACAATCGTCAGTACAAACGGAGACAACACAATCATCAGTACCAACGGAGACAACACAGTCGTCAGTACCAACGGAGACAACACAATCGTCTGTACAAACGGAGACAACACAATCGTCAGTACCAACGGAGACAACACAATCATCAGTACAAACGGAGACAACACAATCGTCAGTACAAACGGAGACAACACAATCGTCAGTACCAACGGAGACAACACAATCGTCTGTACCAACGGAGACAACACAATCATCAGTACCAACGGAGACAACACAATCGTTTGTTCCATCAGAAACAACAGTGTCGGCATCAACAACAGAGACAAGGACGCCATCATTGGTGTTTGAAACAACACAATCGCCAGTGGCAACATATACAACAGTGTGGTCAACAACTACAGAGACAACAGCGCCATCCTTGAATATAGAAACAACAAAATGGTCAGTACCTACAGAAACAACAGTATTGTCATCAACTTCAGAGACAACAGCGTCATTACCGCCTTTTGACACAACACCATCGGCATTGGCTCTAGAGACAACACAATCGTCAGTACCAACAGAAACAACACCATCGTCAAAACCAACAGAAACAGCAGTGTCGAAATCAACTACAGAGACAACAGCGTCATCACCACTTATAGAAACTAAACAATCGTCAGTACCAACAGAATCAACAGTTTCATTACCAATTACAGACACAACAGAGCTATCATTACCAACAGAAACAACACAATCGTCAGTACCAACAGAAACAACACAACCGTCAGTACCAACAGAAACAACACATACGTCATTACCAACAGAGTCAACACATACGTCAAAAACGACAGAGACAACACAATTGTCATTACCGACAGGAACAACACAATCGTCATTACCAACAGAAACAACACAATCGTCAGTTCCAACAGAGACAACACAAACGTCATTACCAACAGAGACAACACAATTGTCAGTTCCAACAGAGACAACACAATTGTCATTACCGACAGGAACAACACAATCGTCATTACCAACAGAAACAACACAATCGTCATTACCAACAGAAACAACACAATCGTCAGTTCCAACAGAGACAACACAAACGTCATTACCAACAGAGACAACACAATCGTCAGTTCCAACAGAGACAACACAATTGTCATTACCGACAAGAACAACACAATCGTCATTACCAACAGAAACAACACAATCGTCATTACCAACAGAAACAACACAATCGTCAGTTCCAACAGAGACAACACAAACGTCATTACCAACAGAGACAACACAAGCATCATTTCCAACAGAGACAACACAAGCCTCAGTACCAAAGGAAACAACACAATCGTCCGTACCAACAGAAACAACACAATCGTCAGTACCAACAGAGACAACACAATCGTCAGTACCAACAGAGACAACACAATCGTCAGTACCAACAGAAAAAACACATTCGTCATTAGCAACAGAAACAACACAATCGTCATTACCTACAGAGACAACACAAACGTCATTACCAACAGAGACAACACAATCGTCGGTACCATCAGAGATAACACAAACGACAGTAAAAACAGAGACAACACAAACATCAGAACACACAGAGACAACACAATCGTCAGTACCAACAGAGACAACAAAATTGACGGTACCATCAGACACTATACAAACGTCAGTACCAACTGAAACAACACAATCGTCGATACAAACAGAAACAACACAAACGGTACCAACAGAGACACCAATATGGACTATATCTACAGAAACTACAACGTCCAAAAAAGGGGATCTCCCCGATGAGAAAAGTGACCCAGGTAAAGTTTTTGAATATTGCATTTAACTGTGTTCAAATCAATGTATATACAATTGAGCCTTTTTGATATTTAGAAATTTAGTGCGACTATATAAGAACATAAACACCTTCTACAGTATGTCTTAAATTATTGTTTTAACTTTTTTTTAAACACTGTTTACGATCAAACTTTACTATGACGACATTTCAGTTATTTAATTTAAACATTGCGCTTAAATTTAAATGCATAGAACTTGATATAATACACTAAATATGGATTTTTTTTCATAAAACATGTAAAACAAGCTTTCCGAATGTTTATCTGTTTTTGTAATAAAAATCATTACGATATACATTTTTGTACTTCTTTAATCAATCAATCAATCACCAACAACCAAGGGACAAGGATGTAATCAATAACTGATCACTTTACAACCTTCATCATCGGCAAAACCATTACCTGATTCACTGGTTTTTAAAAAAAGTAAAAGTAATAAATTGATAAAGTATGCCTATAAAATTGAATTTCATGCAAGAAAAAATTAAATTCTTAAGAGATCGTATTCATTACGCTGGTAATAACACAATCAGAAAGGAGTTTTTGCCACTAGCAACCTATTACTTTATTGCATAATCCTCTCATTTGTTGGGCTACATGTACATCAAGTATAAATAGTTCCGACTCCAAGAGAGTTGAGAGGAAATAGAAGAACAACTTGTGAAGGCGTTAAGCGAATCACTTTTTGTGTGAAGCGTTTCTGCAAATATGCTGAAATTTGATAATATAACAATACAAACAACTGAATGCGTGAACATCAATTTTATCTTGAGAGTTTTATTGTTTTTTGTATCATCTGTACCCATGCTACATGTATCTCAAACAGTTAACACCTATTTTCCTAAACAGCGAGAGTACCAGAAGCAACACCTTAATCATCGCAATACTACACTTCAGTTAGATAAAAGAGAGTCGAAAGATACCAAAGGAACATTCAAACTCATAAGTCAATCAGATAATTGATGATTTAGCCTAATGATTTACGTGTTATTGATTTCATTTTGCAGATACTGTTTTCTTACTAATAGTAATTCCTATATTTGCTGTTATGCTGATTGTACTGATGGTGTTTGTATTAGTCCATATATCCTACGGGATGAGGTAAGAACTTTACATTGAATGTGCATAGTGAACAAAATATGAAAACAGCTCTTCATAAATTTCATGCGTCCGATGCGCTTTTCTGCAAGAACTCTGATTAAAAGCCAAATATTTGAAAGCCAATTAGGTAAACAGAAGAACCAAAACGGTTGAAGAGATATATGACCAAGAGGTACATATGTTAATAGCTAAACCCATCTAGAGTCAACTTTGCCTGAAGAAGTAGAAACCTTCATTTCTTAATCCATAAACGGAAAAATGTTGGAAAGTGGGTAATAAGTCATGTGGGTTTTTTATTTGATGTTTGAAGGACATTCACATTTTTTTATGATATTTGTACATGCGTCTTTTGCAAAGGTTTTTATATGCCCTTTTACGGAACGTATTATGGTTTACTGTTGTCCGTCCATCCGTCGTCAACATATCAAAAAATAACTCAAACACGCTTTAACCAATTTGCATGAAACTTTAGTGAAAATTTATATCTATTGACATGAGATCCTTTTTCAATTCTTATGAATTTTAGATTTTACGTTTCCGAGTTACATGTATGGGGTTTTATTCATTAAAAAAGGGCGATTTTCCAGTTTTCGGACAAAAACTCAGAAATGTTTTGAACGGTCTTCATGAAACTTTGGTGAATTATTTATATCTATTGATGAATCAGATTTTACTGATAAAAAGGGGGGGATTTCCGAGTTTTCAGACAATAACTCAAAAGCGCTTTGAGCAGTTTTCGTGAAACTTTGATAACTGGTTTATATCTATTTAAATAGTCTCCATTTCGTTTTTTAAAAATTTCTGATATGACATTGAGGATTTATGGAACTTTATTCTTTAAAAAAAAGAGACGGGCGTATCATGTGCTCATGACGCAGTTCTTTGTACCTGTATGGTATACTTTACATAATTCACAAAGAGTTCATACATGTACCTCATTCTTTTTATTAAGCAGTGGTACATATTGGCTATCTAGTTGTTAATTTCGATAGCAATAAAAACAGTTATAGAGCACTTCTGTGTTGACATGAATTATCATTGATATATGGTTATGATTAAAGATTAACTGTTTACAAAACTTTGAATTTTTAAAAGATGTTCTACCCCAGGAATAGATGACCTAGTCAGGCTTACTGTATTTGTCAAAACTTTTAAGAATTTTGGGTCCTCAATGCTCATTAACTTCGTATTTTATTTGGCCTTTTAAACATGTTTCGACTCAAGCCTCACTGAAGATTCTTTTGTAGACGAAACGCTCGTCTGGCTTACAACTTCTAAAATCCTGGTATCTATGCTGAGTTTATATACATTGTGTACGTCAACATGATAGCAACTCTTCTTAACAAATATCAAAAAAGAAAGCAAAAGTAAACATGCAGTCTTCAACAGTATAGAAGTGATTGTGAACCAGTTTCCGGAAATCTATCCTACACTGAAACTATTGATTTGTATCTTCGGTGATTTATCTACATGGTGCTGTCGTTAGTACTCCTCTAATGCTTTAAATTAATATAAAGTGGGGTTTTGAGGGGGTTGTTTTAAATTTGTACAAAATCTTAGGCGGTTTTTGAGTAATAAAATCTATTTACATGACACTCGTAAGCGTTACTCTGCTTTGATTGTGCATTTCAAAAGAGTTTTACTGAATAGGTTGTCTTATTTCGTCTACACATATTAGTTGATCATTTTAAAGTCATCGAGCATTTGTCTCTTTTGATTCAAGCGTCAGTCAGGACTATGGCAGTTGTTTTCAAATAGTCCGTTTCTATGCGTGTTGGCGTTTGTTTTTGTTGCTTTTCAGCGTTTCTGTTTTTCTGTTGTTTTCCTCTTAAAGTTCATGTGTTTCCCTCGGTTTTAGTTTGTAACCCGGATTTGTTTTCTCTTAATCAATTTGACTTTTGAACAGCGGTATACTACTGTTGCCTTTATTTGAACTGGTTTTTTTTCATTTTTGTCTTCAAAAGCTAGGTGGAGGCTTCTAAAGTGTTGCATTTATAACTCGGTTAAGATGGTACAGCAATTTGTAACATTGTAACTGTATATCTTCCACTATTTTGCAGTATTGTGACTATGTTTTGTCACCAGTTAAGATAGATAGTTTGCTAAGTTTTTGTTAAAAATGTTTTTATGATTGAATAGAATAACGATTTGTAATCTAACATTTTCGTGTTTAGATTTGAGCATTAGAAAAACAATCTTGTTTCTTCTGCTGAAGTCAGATCTTAAATTGTAAGTCTAGGTAAAAAAAGTGGCAGATATATCAATAAAGCTTCCGAGTTTTGACAACATGAGTAGCTGCGCTGGGGCGCGAAAGAGTAACTATTTGAAAAAGTGTCATTTAAATTTCTTTTATCAGCCCCAGTTTTTCATGCTGTTAAAATATCAATTTTTATTCAGAAATAGTGGAACAAATAGTTCTATAGAGATGGGAAGTACCTGCTCACGAGCTGATGACCCTGTCATAATTAATGGTTCATTTTGGACACCGAATGATGTAATTTCAATACGTTCTAAATCGCTGCCTTTGCATGAAACGATTAAAGTTTGCAATCTTTCATCGTAAGTATAATCACCTATAGATAATTATTTTAACACAGGTTACTTACCCTAATGTACACATAAAAGAGTACAAGTGTATCGATGAATTTAACTCATCTTGCTATTTGTATTGAATAATTTCAACCGCTATTCTGAAACTGTTTGTCATTTTTGTTGATATTCTTACTCTGTCCTGAATTTTTTTTTATATTTATAACTTATATAATTAACACAAATAAAGGCAATAGTAGTATACCGCTGTTCAATAGTCATAACAAAGATATTCAAGAGAAATTAGGCACAGTGCAAGGCATTAAATTACATTAACTGATACACAACAGATATTTATATTGGCATCGTTGTCAATATAATGGAATTTGATGTGACTATCATACAAGTGAGAGGTTTAAAACCAGGTTCAATTCACCATTTTCTACATAAGAAAATGTCTGTACCAAGTCAGGAATATGAGAGTTGTTATCCATTCGTTTGATGTGTTTGAGCTTTTGATTTTGCCATTTGATTAGGGACTTTCCTTTTTGAACTTTCCTCGGAGTTCAGTATTTTTGTGATTTTACTTTTTTTGTATAGCAAGATAATACAGTGCCGATCTATAATGAGCAATGTTTTTCATAGTTATCATGGTATTTTGTTTTGAATTTGGATATGTCCGAGGAAATCCAATTTCTTCGTTTGTAATATATATGCTTATTTGCTGTTATATGTTTACATATCTTTGTTGAGTTTTTACATATTACAAAAAATGCGTTAAATTATCATTATACTACTTGTTAACCTTTTTTTAGATTTGGTCGTGAATAGAAAGTATCAGAATCGGTGATTTAAACCAATAGTAATAAACAGAGAGAACAATAAAGTGCTGGTTTTGATTCCCAAATGTGATTCTGAAGGAGCACAACTTTGCTGCGCTTTGATGTCTCTGTTATAATGTGTCTTTATCATTTATAAAAGGGAAAAACGAGGCAAAGCCAATTCGATTAACGAGTATAGGAATACAAGATGTATAGCATCAGGGCAAAAAGTAGTCCGAATCCTGAACATTCGATACTTGAACCATATTATACATATGTCAGTTAATATGATTATTTTGATATACTAAAATATACAGCTTATTTGTAACTACAAAAGGTGAAGTGTATATGTCGAAAATAAGGCAACCAAACCATATCAACTTTTGATATTTTGGATTTTGAAAAGACAGTTGACTATGGAATGCTGTATGTCAGGATATTTTTACATGAGACAAACAATAAGTGAATAAATTAAACCAAATATTGCAAACACATTGCAACAACACCATTTTATTCTCTAAAGGACTATGTGGACAGCCGGTTGTTTCTGAATGAAGAGTTTGTTTTTAAATCACAGTCGCGTCATATAACATGTATAAATTTTTTAAGATGTAAGGTATGATGTAAGGTAAAATGTCTATAAAAAAGATGAATAAGGATTATTCCAAACTGTCGTACTGATATCTTATTATATTAGGATGTAACTAAAAACGGCAACATTGTTGGTTTCACCTGATCTTTTTTGATTTCATTAAGATGCTGTTTTGATCCCATAATCCAAAAAGAGGTTTATGTATTTCGCTTCAAAACTTTTGGACTAAAGCGAATCTGATGAGGTCTGAAATTCTTGTGTATGTTTATTTTACTTCAAATGTCTTAAGTTAGTGGTGACAACTGCTTAATTGATAGACACAACGACACAGACTGCTTATTACTATTACAGAATATCTGTTTCATAGATGACGACGGTAATATTCCAATCGTCGTAACCACAATACGCCCTCCTTTCCCCGAATGAGACCTCACGAAATAGACTTATCTCCGGGTTGTACTAAAAAAACAAAACTACGGGTGATACATGTGGAGCAGGATCTGCTTACCCTTCTGGGGCACATGGGGTCACCCCCGGTTTTTGATTGGGTTCGTGTTGCTCAATCTTCAATTTTGTATGCTTTGTTTTGTATGCTGTTTTTTATTTTTGGTCTTTTTCTTTTTTAACATGGCGTTGTCAGTTTATTTTCGACTTATGAGTTCGAATGTCCCTTTGGTATCTTTCGCCTCTCTTTTATCCAATTCTTTTGTATTGATATCAACAGGAACAAGAGTCGATACATTTCAACTGATTAATACATTATGTTTTCCAAGATTAAACTACCAATCAGTACATGTTCTACCCAACATGACATGATCTCATTTTCAAATGGCACTCACAATTTTCGACGCTTCGTTCTGGTTTACCCAATATGTAAAACCTAACCCAACCAAAAAAAGTCATTGTTTAGTCCTTGAAAAAATCTTTACGAAACTTTAGTACATACAGTTTGTGTTTACTACATGTTCACATTGTTGTTGATTACTTAGAAAAGGTATTTTAGGTTGAGATTCGTGTAGCTCATCATTTGTTTTCTGTGTCTTAGTTTTAGATTTGTGTTTATTCTAATCATCTACCTTCTTATTGCAATGATCTTGTCTGTCTGACTTTATCTAGAAATAGGTGCATTATTACCCAGAGAAATACAATCACGTTTCCTATAATGTTAGGAATAGTCAATAGGCCTTTCACCGGAAAAAATCGTCAACTACGTACTCCCTTATGACTGTCATTTATCAGATATAAGGCGAGCCTGTATCCCTGCACCTATTAAAGTTTCAAGCATCTTCAGGATCGTCATTCAGAAGGATAGTCTAGAAATAATTTATGTTCCGTAATAAGGTACGTAATCTCAATGTCCCGTGCGACTGAAGGGAGGTTGACCAACTTATTAGATTTTTATCTCCAGAATATTTCTTGCAGTACAGCATCAAATTTTTCACCCATTCGCTCAACCTGTGTCAGAAGTGAAGATGTCCACATTTTGGCCACGTGGTGATGAAAGTCACACGACATATATAACTAACTACTGTATCTTAGAACTGGCGTATTACTAAAACAGGTTAGAAATGCACAGTAACCTATGAAATCAGATGTAATAAAGGTAATCAAATTTTTCATAGTTTAATTTGTCAGAACCGACTTAAATCATAATCCGATGTAGACACACACGGGCGTATATATGCGATTGTGTGCAAAGATGTCGACTGATTTACTTAAAGGTTAATAAGATATTGATAATGCTTTGGTTGGTTTATTTATTTATTTCTTGGTGGTGTGACACAAACTTTGATGTAAAACAGATAGCATAAATGATCATATTCTATGATTTCACCCTTCTTGAGCAGTAACATGTACATGTAAGCATATACGTACATGTAACACTTTGTTAAGTGTAAAGAGTTATAGTATCATTATCTGAGTTGATACCATAACACTCTAACTGCAGGACGTAGCGCGTTTGTTTACGTATAATATAGCATGTATGCTTAAATAGATGTGCACATGTTCGTTTTAACTCGAAACCTATTAAATTATTAAACAAGGAAACACAAATAAATTATTAAGACAATAAAGGATATTGGGTCTCCATCCATGACACAAAATCAGTTAATGCACAGGAAATTGAGAGAATGATGTTCCACACATCAGAGAAGTTATCTCAAGAATAAATACGCCATAAATTAAAAAAAAAAACACAATACACCTCAACCACGGGGAATTTTTCTATAGCCTCCACACATAACGAGAGATAATGCAAACTCCTTTAATATAATAGAAAAGAAAAAAACACATTTACTAATTAGTTGAACTAATAGTTTTGGTGTTGCAATTAACAGAGACATGTTTACTTTGCTGTAGATCGTCCAACAAGTTCCTGACATTGACTGGATGTAAATTTGAAATCGTGTGAGGGTTGATGCATGCTCACAATGTCGAAACTATATCGCTGCATTGTAGCGATTTGATATTGATTTCACTGTTTTTCTTTCTTTCCTACCGATTTTTACATGGAATTTGTGTTGCACAATCTTCATTTTTCAATTTAATATTTTGTTATTATTTTTGTGTTTTATTTTCATTTTCGTCATTCCGATCGTTTTTTTTTTCTTTGTCTTGTGTCAGTTCAGCCACATACATGTAAGTGCCTCTATAAATTACTTACTCTTTCGAATCACTCAAGTCCCAAAACTGATGTTAAGTGAGTTAATGTAGACCAAGCATGATTTTCTATTTTGTACTTTTGTTGATCTTTTGGACTTTTTCTATGAAGCATGCTGATTTCTGTCTTTACCGACTTGTTTTTTTTTTCTCATTATATATGAAGTTATATTTTACTAGCGATGACAAACACGACGGATGCATCTAGTATAACGGGATCCGCACACATATCCGGATCTCCCGAGATTTTACCCGGTTTTGGTGGTGTTTATGTTGCTCGTAGTTTTCTGAGTAGTCTTTTGCAGAATATTGTTTGTTTTTCGATGATATTTCTGTTTGGCCAGATAAATGTATTGTCTGTATTTCCTCGACTTATTTATATTGTGCTTATTGTATCTGAAGCCTCATATTTTTGTATATCATTGTTATTCTATTTATGGGAACATTTTGCTAATTTAAGTTCGTTTAAAGTATGTTAGTTCCGTAAAATGGATGCCAAATATTATAACAAGGGCAACATCACAAATAGACTCTGATATTTTCCAATATATCAAAACTGTCTTTTTTTCTATTTTTTATTCCTAAGTGTGAACTATCATAAGACATTAAATCAGTTTATTGTAATTCTCGTGTACGGGGACACATTCTACAGCATCCACACAGCACGAGCAACAAACCCTGCAAACAATATAAAAATAAGGATATGTGGTACTTGTTCTTCTCAGCAAAAATTGATCGATAAACATCGCAAGGAAAAACTTTCTTAATCAAACTTTGAAAATACTAAACTCAACTTTCAGTTTTGATAATTTCGCTTTTTGAAAGTTTGAATTTTTTGATTTTTGATTAAGAAATCAAAAATAGAAAACGGGCGAAAAGAGAAGATGTTGTATCATTATTTGGGGTCCCTGTGAAATGCAAAACGGAATAAAAACGGAACGAAACGAAACGAAAAAAAAGCCAAACGAAATGTGCCAAAACGAAACGAAACGAAACGAAACAAGACGAAAAATGACGAAACGAAATGAAATGAACTTTAAATTTTACTTAAAAGTTATTGTAAAAAAATAAAACAAGAGACAAACAGATGTAAGCGGAGAAAAGTGAATACAAAAATAGGTATTTCTCAAAAGCGGAGAATTAATTTTAAAATAAGAAACACTTTGATTATGATCATTCTTAAGTAGGAAGAAAAAAAACGAAACGAATTTCATCATTTTCAATTAAATCAAAATTAAAAAAAAAATTTAAATATTCGCCAATGTACGTTAAGCAATAAAATGGTTCAATACACGTGTATTCCCTCGAATTTAGATATAATGCTAATTTGCTTTACCGCTTCTTACTATCTGCATCCATGTCGGTAGATGAAATCATTGAACGTACACTTTGAGTGATCATCTTTAGTCTTTTGTCATCTGTTTCGGTTCTTATAAATCCTTGGCTTTCAAATATTTAGCTTTGACCGTTCCTGATGATGATAAATTCAGAAAAGCGCATCGGACGTATGAAATTTCTAACGTGCTGTTTTCATTTTTTACCGATTTTATGACGTTCATATATTGCTTTTTATCATTGATTCGTTTGATTGTTGGTTGCTTAACGTCCAGTGGCAAATACTTCATGCATAATCAGGACGAGAACAAGTTTTAACAATAAATACAATAGGTAGGTCCTGTAATAGAGGCCGTCGGGGAAATTTAGACTGCCACTGGAAAATGAGGGTAAATCGGATAGGGACAGAAATTCTGCCTTGCAACGGGGCACCTCCAGACCCCTCAAAGAGTTGTTGCAAGGATTATTGATATGCAAAGAGCGTGGCACTCTCTCTACACGAGGCATCGGATTTAACGTCCCCCATTCTGACCGGACGTGGCTGCGTACTTGTACACCACGCACAGCCAAACGGACGCCCTACTGGGGCAAAGGTTTTACTGTCGGTCGGAAGAAGACCTGTAGTGACTAATATCTATTACCCAGTCACCCTTGGGGGATCATTGATTTCAAATCTTAGTATTGGTACGAAAGGTGAGTTACTGAACCAAAGGTGTTGTAGATTCCAGTTTTATTTATATTTATATCTGCTTTACACTGCTTACCCGCTATAGATTCGATGTATTTAAGAGTAAGACCAACTATGAGTAGCTTGGAGCCAAGATAATGTCAAAAGGTAGAGCTTTAACATCCAACTCAGTGTTTTGGTCTTGTAAAAATTGAATACATTCATACCACATAAACATATAATTATAACATAAACGTTATTTTACAGGCTGAAAATTTATATAATAGTTGCCGCTGTATGTAAAGCGCCCATCTATCCATGTGTAGCTGTCGGCATTTTTATTAATACGTGACATCAGTTTAAATAATATGAGCAACACCCTGTTTACTTAATTATTTTAACGATTAAGATCACGGTGG